TTTTTTTTTTTTGAGTCTCACTCTGTCTCCCAGGCTGGAGTGCAGTGATGCGATCTTGGCTCATTGCAACCTGTGCCTCCCAGGTTCAAGCGATTCTCCTGCCTCAGCCTCCCGTAGCTAGGGTTGCAGGCACCTGCCACCATGACGGGCTAATTTTTGTATTTTTAGTAGAGATGGGGTTTCACCATCTTGGCCAGGCTGGTCTTGAACTCCTGACCTCGTGATCCACCTGTCTTGGCCTCCCATAATGCTAGGATTACAGGCGTGAGCCACTGTGCCTGGCCTATTTTGTGTGTGTGTGTGTGTGTGTGTGTGTGTGTGTGTGTGTGTAGTCTCACTCTGTCTCCCAAGCAACAGAATTGCAAGCACCCGCCACCACGCACAGCTAATTTTATATTTTTAGCACAGACGGGGTTTTACCATGTTGGCCAGACTGGTCTCAAACTTCTAACCTCAAGTGATCCCCCTGCCTTGACCTCCCAAAGTGCTGAGATTACAGGCATGAGCCACTGCGTCCGGACTTCCTTATCTTTTAAGGCGAGATCTGTCTACACAAAATATGTGTCAGTTGACCAAGAAATTGAATGGCCCTAATGCAGCTGTCAGCTCATCCAGTGGCCGTAACCCCTCCCAGGTCTACAACTGATGTGCAGGGTCCTTCCCCGTTCCCAGCACACCACCCACCTCATGACCCTACTCTGAGGCAATGGTTTTCTCTCATTTCTGCGGCCTGGTTTTCTGGTGCTCTAAACCAGTGCATGTGAAGAACTTTAGCAACCCGTGTTTGTGTTACTGTTCTTTCTGTCTCCTCATGACTCCTCTCAATCCCATTCCCTGGTGCTGTTTTTGGGGGCAATGCTGGCAGGGCCCACACATCACAGAACCTACCATGCTCGCCCTGGTTCCTTCCTCCTTGCCTGCCTCATTGAGGCCTATCATGACCTGGGGCTTCCCAGATTGAGGAAAATGGCATGAGCTGGAAAAGCCGCTGAGAACCATGACAATGGCACTGTGCTCATCTCAAAGGGTAAGTGTAGGGCAGAAGGGAAGGTACTGCCCATGTTTGTTTCTCTTTTTTTTTTTTTTTTTAAGGAAACAGGATCTCACTCTGTCACCCGGGCTGGAGTATAGTGGCATGCTCCCGTCTCATTTCACCCTTGACCTCCTGGGATCAAGTGATCTTCCTGCCTCAGCCTCCTGAGTAGCTGGGACTACAGATATACACCACCATGTCTGGCTAATTTTTATATTTTTTGTAGAGAGAAGGGTTTCATGATGTTGCCCAGGCTGGTCTTGAACTCCTGGGCTCCAGGGATCTGCCTGCTTGGGCCTCCCAGAGTGCTGGGATTACAGGCATGAGCCCCCACACCCAGCCTTTCATTTTTCTAACCAGCAAAGGCCTTGGGTGTCTCAGTCAAGGTACAAGTGTAAAGGGAGTGCAAAGTTCCTTCTTACCCTCCAAAATGGTCAGGCTCTCTTTGACAAAATGAAACTGACATACTCCCTGAGGACAGTGATCTCTATAGAGGCTTACAGCCCATTTCATCTGCATTTTAATTTGTATCCATTCTTCCTATTAAAGGAGAAAATTATTCTGATACTTATTAAAACAGTAAGGAAGGCCTGTTTTAGGACTATGACAATAGTAGAGAAAGATCAAACTCAACTCCTCAGAGAACAAGTTGGGATTTATAGCCAAGGAGAAGGAGTAGGAGTTGGGGGTAGATGGAAAATTACTAAGAGGAGACATCAAGCATAGAGAATTCTTGCTGAGGGCAGGCCAGGGTGATCAGATAGCAGGGGCGAAAGAAGGGATTCATTCTAAATTGACTTAGCAGGATTCTTGTTAAAACTAGGCTAGGCACAGTGGCTCACACCTGTAATACCAGCACTTTGGGAAGCCAAGGCAGGCAGATCACGAAGTCAGGAGTTCAAGACCAGCCTGGCCAACATGGGGAAACCCTGTCTCTACTAAAAAAATAAAATAAAAAAATCAGCTGGGCGTGGCAGCACGTGCCTGTGATCTGATCCACTAAGGAGGCTGAGGCAGGAGAATTGCCTGAACCCAGGAGGCAGAGGTTGCAGTCAGCCAAGATTGTGCCACTGCACTCCAGCCTGGGTGGCAGAGCAAGACTCCATTGGGGGAAAAAAATATAGGTTATGCAGATCTGGCAAGGATGGGGCCTAGATGGGAAGTAGGTTTAGAGGAACTTAGCTAAAGTTTGCTTAAAGAGTCTATAATCATTTTGGGAGTCTGCGGTAGGCAGATCACTTGAGGTCAGGAGTTCAAGACCAGCCTGGCCAACATGGCGAAACCCCATCTCTGCTAAAAATACCAAAAAATGGCCGGGCGCAGTGGCTCATGGCTGTAATCCCAACACTTTGGCAGGCCAGGGCGGGTTAATCACAAGGTCAAGAGACTAACGCCATCCTTATCAACATGATGAAACCCCATCTCTACTTAAAATACAAAAATTAGCTGGGTGTGGTGGCACACGCCTGTAGTTCCAGCTACTCAGGAGGCTGAGGCAGGTGAATTGCTTGAACCTAGGTGGCAGAAGTTGCAGTGAGCCAAGATCATGCCACTGCACTCCAGTCTGGCGACAGAGCGAGACTCCGTCTCAAAAAAAAAAAAAAAAAGACCACACATACACACTAGCTGGGCATGGTAGCACACGCCTGTAATCCCAGCTACTTGGGAGGCTGAGGCAGGAGAATCACTTGAACCTGGGGGGTGGAGGTTGCAGTGAGCCGAGATCGTGCCACCACTGTACTCCAGCCTGGTGACAGACTCTGTCTCAAAAAAAAAAAAAAAAAACAAAAAACAGCTGGGCATGGTGATGCATGCCTGTAATCCCAGCTACTCAGAAGGCTGAGGCAGGACAATCACTTGAACCTGGGAGGTGAAGGTTGCAGTGAGCCAAGATTGCACCATTGCATTCCAGCCTGGGTGACGGAGTTAAGACCCTGTCGAATGAATGAATAATTGAATGTATTACTCCCAAGTTGTAGAAGTAGCCGATTAGTCATGTTTATAGTAAAGCGACTTTTCATCTTTATAAATATTTTCGAAAAAAGCAGGGAGATGGTTTACAGAAGCTGTTGTCATAAGTTATTTGGAGCTAACAGCTAGAAATCCTGCTCTAAATACATTGCTTTAAAGTTCACATTTTTAGGTATCATTACACCCATTTGCCAGACAAGAAAACTAAAAGGTCATGTTCTTAAGGCTTCATAGCTGCAGGAAAAGGCAAAAGTGGCTCTGAAACTCAGGTCTTTGGACTCAGAATGCAGTTTTTCTTCTACCCTCTGTCATCTTTGCCTTGATATTAAGACATGACTTCTGATCAGAAGAGCATCTCAGAATTCTGTCCTCCCCCAGCAGGAGTAACTGCAATGGTTTGGCTGCTAAATATATGTATCAGCCCTGTGAACACCAGAGGGAATGTTACAACAGAGGGCAGAGAAGGCTTGCCATAGCCAGGTGCTTGTTGGCAGGTCTAGAAGCTCATGTTTTGAAAGAGGTCAACCTAAGCTAATAGTAAGTAGACATATTAATGCACTGATAGTATCTTCAGATCATGGTTTCCTACTGGAAAATGGGATGGGGGAAGCAGTAATGGTTATCTGGCAAAATTTTATAAATGATCATTTTCCAATGATAGTTTGTTTGGGGACCGGGGCTGGGGGAGAGAAGACAGTCTTGCTTTGTTGCCCAGACTGGAGTGCCATGGCCTCATCTCAGCTCACTTGAACCTCCGGTTCAAGCAATTCGCCTGCCTCAGCCTCCTGAGTAGCTGGGATTATAGGCATACGCCACCATGCCTGGCTAACTATTGTGTTTTTAGTTAGATGGGGGTTTCACCACATTGGCCAAGCTGGTCTCGAACTCCTGACCTCAAGTGATCCACCTGGCTGGGTCTCCCAGAGTGCTGGGATTACAGATATGAGCCACTGTGCCCAGCTCCAAATTATTTCAATTAGTTAGTAAGGAGCTCCTCTTTTTGGTAAAATGATGAAGCAAATATTTCTATAGTAATATTTATATACTGGGTACTTTATGATTAATGTGATTTTTTGCTTTTTTTGAGACAGAGTCTGTCTCTGTTATTCAGGCTAGAGTGCAGTGGTGCGATCATTGGCTCCCTGCAACTTCTGCCTCCCAGGTTCAAGGGATTCTCCTTCCTCAGCCTCCCAAGTGACTGGGTACAGGCATGTGCCACCACACCCAGCTAATTTTTTGTATTTTTAGTGGAGACGGGGCTTCACCATGTTGGCCAGGTTGCTCTTGAACTCCTGACCTCAGGTGATCCACCGCCCTCAGTCTCCCAAAGTGCTAGGATTACAGGCATGAGCCACTGTATCCAGCCTAATTTGATTTAATATTTATTTTTTGTACAGAGTGTTTCAACAGCAAACAGAGATTAGACATTTATAACAGAATTCTAGTTTGTCTACAGACTTACATATAATGGCAAATCATCACTTGGTTTTCCTTTTTTTTTTTTTTTTGAGATTGGAGTCTCACTGTGTCTCCCAGGCTGGAGTACAAGGACGAAATCTCAGCTCACTGCAACCTCTGCCTCCCGAGTTCCAGTGATTCTCCTGCCTCAGCCTCTCAAGTAGCTGGAATTGCATGCGTGGGCTACCACGCCCAGCTAATTTTTGTATTTTTAGTAGAAACAGTATTTTACCATGTGTGGCCCAGGCTGGTCTTGAACTCCTGAGCTCAGGTGATCTGCTTGCCTCAGCCTCCCAAAGTGCTGGGATTACAGGCATGAGCCACTGCTCCCCAGCCTTGGTTTTCTGTGTAAAACAATTTGCATTGTTCTTAGCCATGAATAAGATCCCCAAGTAATACAGAAATATTTCTATCTTAGGCTTTTACTTGAACTTGCTTTCTTTTTTCCATAGGAGGTGCTCATCTTTCAACCACATGTCACCATCCTCCTCATGCTCGTCTTGTAAGTACTTCCCTTGACATCTTGGAATGTTGGTCCCTTTGTCATACGTAGATCTGGTCAGAGCTCTGTCTTACAGAGTGTTCTGAATACAGTTTTCTAATAAGGAAAAGAAAATATTTACATGCGGGAGAAAATTGTCTTTAATAGGTGATTCGTTAAAGGAATTTTTTTTTTTTTTTTTTTTTTTGAGACAGCGTCTCTCTCTGTCACCCAGGTTGGACTGTAGTGCCTCAGTCTTGGCTCACTGCAACCTCTGCCTCCCGGGTTCAAGTGATGCTCCTGCTTCAGCCTCCCAAGTAGTTGGGATTACAGGCCTGCACCACCACACCTGGCTAATTTTTGTATTTTATAGAGACAGGGTTTCACTACGTTGGCCAGACTGGTCTCTAACTCCTGACCTCAGGCAATCCTCCTGCCTCAGGCTCCCAAAGTGCTGGGATTACAGGTGTGAGCCAGCATGCCGACTTGTTACAAGAATTTTTAAAGCCTATCTTTATGACTTTCATGCTGATGTAATTATCATTTATTTGTTGGTTAGATGTGTGTTCCCTTCTTCATTGCAATAGGGACTTGTGGCATCCTACAAAAATGCAATGCAATAAAACGTAAACCTCAAATAGAAAGGAAAAGGAAAATAAAGGGAGAAACTGTCCACATAGCCTATAAAATGTCACCTTCAAAAAAATCTGTCAGCATTCTTGTCTTTGTGTCCTATGTAGAAACCCTTTAGTTGATGCCTAAACACGGATGTGTATTTCTTGGACTCAATGCTCCCTGCAAAAATAAATGTTTCTAACAGTGTAAAAGAATGGGGGGCAGGGATTGGTGGCAGGCGCCTGAATCCCAGCTACTCAGGGGGCTGAGACAGGAGAATTGCTTGAGCCTGGGAGGTGGAGTTTGCAGTGAGCCAAGATCACACCATTGCACTCCAGCATGGGTGACAGGGAGACCCATCTCAAAAAACAAAATTAATGAAAAAATGAACTTTGATACTTGCCTCATACTGATCTGCTTCTACTCTTGCTGCTTTTTCTCTCTTCTCAACAGAGTGGTTGATTATTTAAAACACAGAGTGATGCTTTAAAACAGAAGTCAGCTCATGCCACTGTTCTGCAAAGCCCTTTAATTTATCCAAAATAATATCTGCATTCCTTTCAACTGCCTGACAGATGACACTCTGCCAGCCCTGGGATCTTATTGATCCCCCTCCTGCCACCAGTGCTCCTCTAGCTTCCTTGGCCTCCCTCAGACAGAACCAGCTGGCTGTGGGCTTGGGGGCCTTTGCAGTCCTCACATGCCATCACTAACACACGGGCAGAGTGCGCTCTCTCTCCCTTTATTCAACTCTCAGCAAAAATGTCCTTTTCATCAGGCATAGTGCCTCGTGCCTCGTGCCTCATGCCTGTAATCCCAGCACTCTGGAACGCCAAGGCAGGAGGATCACTTAAGCTAGGAGTTCTAGACCAGCTTGGGCAACATAGCAAAATCCTGTCTCTATAAAAAAGTGAAAAAAGGCTGGGTGCAGTGGCTCATGACTGTAATCCCACCATTTTGGGAGGCTGAGGTGGCAGATCACTTGAGGTCAGGAGTTTGAGACCAGAATAGGCAACGTGGTGAAACCCCATCTCTACTAAAAATACAAAAATGAGCTGGGTGTGGTGGTGTGCTCCTGTAGTCCCAGCTACTCAGAAAGCTGAGCCAGGAGAATTGCTTGAACCCAAGAGGAGGCTACAGTGAGCCAAGGTGGCACCACTGCACGGTAGCCAGGGTGACAGTGAGACTCAGTCTCAAAAAACAAAAGTAGCCAGGCATGGTGGTATGTGCCTGTAGTCCCAGCCACTTGGGAGGCTGAGGCAGGAGGATCACTTGAACCCAGGAGGTCAAGGCTGCAGGGAGCTATGATTGTGCCACTGCACTCCAGCCCAGGTGACAGAGTGACTCCTCATCTTAAAAAATCCTCCCCTTACCACTGAATACCATCCATGATAGGCACTTTCTATCTGCTTAGCCTCATTTTTTCTTGATAGCACTTATTTAATGCATGACATAATTTATCTGCCTCCACCAACACAGAGGCTCGACAAGGCTAGGAACTTGGCTCCTTGTGCTCCTTGCTGTATTCGGTTCTCCAGAACATTCTTAGCACTTTATAGATGTTTAACAATTTGTTGAATGACTGATATAAATACACTAATGTAAATCCTGAATCTCAGTAACATAATATGCAGCTTTCTTGAAGCTGTTTGAGCACAGAATTTTTGAACAGAAATGCCTGTTATCTCATAGGACATGGGGGTTTCAGAGCAATTTGGAAAACACTGCCTTAATTATTCCTTAAATGGTAAAATCAGATTTTGCCTTTTCCTTTACGTATTTTTATCTTTTAGTCCAAGACGCTGTGTCATCCCATCAGCCCATTCTCTTCAGTACTACCAAAAATCACAGCACAGGTAACGCCAGTCACATCTGAACCCAGCAGCCAGCCTCTCCCTGCGAGAACAGAGCCCACCAGTCCTGTGTCTGTCACACGTGCTGGTCAGTCTCAGATGGAAACGGCTTCAAGCCCAGAGGAAGACACCCATCCAAATAGCTTCACCTCTCATGGCCCAGTATCACTGCAGAACGCGTCTGGTCAGGTAAACATGGGAAATGCAAGTACAACTAGGTAGCTCTGTGACAGTGAAAAAGCAGTTGGTTTCCCATTTGCCTCCCTGCAGAACTGCACCTAAGAAAACCTGACAGACCAGCATGTATGCCAATCTAAAGCCAAAACTAAACAAGGCCATGGAAACAGCCTACAATTTGGGGGCACACATACGGCCCAGCATTTCATTAAATACTGAAATATTCTCATTTAACTATTTAATGATATTATTTAATGCTATTGTATTTAATGCTTCAGATGGACAAGAAGTTTTGTTCACCTGCCCTGCTTTTTCAGCAGCAACAAACTTCTAGAGAATTCCTTCTCACCACCCTGACTCTCTTTTCACCTTGTTTCCTTCCTCCCAAAAACGCAGACAACAAGGTAGCCAGACGCAGTGAGTCACACCTGTTGTCATCCCAGCATTTGGGAGGCCAAGGTGCGGGGATCACTTGAACCCAGGAGTTTGAGACCAGCCTGGGCAATGTAGTAAGACCTTGTCTCTACTAAAATTCAAAAAAAAATTATCCAGGTGTGGTGGCATGCACCTGTAGTCCCAGCTACTTGGGAGGTGCAGGTGGCGGTGGCGGTGGCGGTGGATCTCTTGAGCCTGGGAGGTCCAGGCTGCAGCAAGCTGTGATTACACCACTCTACTCTAGGCTGGGCGACAGAGCAAAACTGTCTCAAAAAAGGAAAAAAAAAAAAGACAAAGCCCCTTTGACAGTATTGACTGAAGAAAATAATCCTTCTTCACCTACCCTTTTTCCCCCCCAAACTCAAAAGAGCCCTGTTTATATGCAGCCAAACATTTCCCTGCTAAAAACATAATCCTGTTGACCCTGGATCTGCCTGCAGTGGTGATGGAAATTAGGGGTTCTGCTGAGGGGAGAAACTGACCTACAGGAGTTTAAACAAAGAGGGATTTTTTTTTTCTTAAAGAGAAATCTGAAGTATAGGGTAGCCAAAGGAATCTATGATTATTAGAAATATTAAGAGAATTTAGCAGTATTCAGCATTTAATCAAGTTTGATTGACGATGTGATTGATTTAAGCTGGGAGTGAGCTGTTCTCCAGAACTGGAACGCGTAGTTGGCGTTAATGGTGATCGTCTCAGGGCCAGGCTTCCAGTTCAAATGTGGTAGCCACTTAGCTTTGGGATAGCAGCTAGTTTGCTCAGTTTCTTTTTTCAGGAGGTTTTCTGCTTCCCCCGCCTCCTGCTATGAGGCATTTTAGGTCACTCCCTCTTGAATATGAACGCTTGTTTTCTGGGACAGAGTCTTGCTCTATTACCCAGGCTGAAGTGAAGTGGCACAGTCTTGGCTCACTGAAACCTCCACTTCCCAGGTTCAAGTGGTTCTCCTGCCTCAGCCTCCCGAGTAGCTGAGACTACAGGCATATGCCACCATGCCCAGTTAATTTCTGTATTTTTCGTAGAGAGAGGGTTTCGCCATGTTGGCCGGGCTGGTGTTGAACTCCTGACCTCAAGTGATCTACCTGTCTTGGCCTCCCAGAGCGCCGGCATTACAGGTGTGAGCCACCGTGCCCGCCTTAAATATAAACACTTGAGGGAAACGCGCACAGAGGGAAGCCTGAAAGGAAAACATACTTCTGAATAGAAAAGTTTGGTTTTAGCTTTTTGATGTCCATATTTCCCTCATCTTTGCTCACGGCCTTAAAACTTAAAGTTACTGCTATAAATCCCATTTCCAGACTCATTTGCCCTTGGAGCAACCATTGTATACCTCATTTTTCATTTTCTCTATCATGGAAAATGTATAAATTGTGTCCACTTGCAGAAAACCTTCTAAAAGTAATCACTGTTTCAGAGAGCTGTGATTCGTAGAGTTTATAATGTTATTCATGGTCAGCTTTGGTTAAAACAATCTTTCTGACTACTACAGTACACTAATTTTATGTAAGTAATTTTGGCAAAATTCTTTGTTCTCTATAGGTCATAGATGAGATAGTAGGAAATTTCAGCAGAGCTGTTCATGGTTTGCAAGCTCATAACAAACTGCAGGAAGCTTGTGAGGTACTCCAGAAACTAACAGCCTTGACCCCGAGATTTTCTAAGCCAGCTCAGGTAAGCAGAGGGTGACTGGGAGGGAAGAAGATAGGAAAGAGGGAAAAGTGAAAAACAGAAAAAGAGAATCTAAGGCTGGGTGTGGTGGCTCATGCCTATAATCCCAGCACTTTGGGAGGCCAAGGCGGGAGGATCACATGAGGCTGGGAGTTAGAGAACTGACTGGGCAACATGGCGAAACCCATCTCTACTGAAAAAGAAAAATTCAAAAATTAGCTGGGCTTGGTGGTGGGCACTTGTAATCCCAGCTATTCAGGAGGCTGAGGGACAAGAATCACTTGAACCCAGGAGGCGGAGGCAATGAGCCGTTATCACACCACTGCACTCCAGCCTGGGTGGCAGACAGAGACTCTGTCTCAAAAAAGAAAAAGAGAATCTTGAGATTGTACCCTGTGCCAAGCTTAACATTATAAAGATTGTGTTTAAATTTTAACAAGCAAATTTTTACCTTTAAATCTGGAAAGTTAAGAATTAAATTGGTCAGTAGTGACATTCTTGGATATACTGTGTTTATGTTCATTTGTTCATTAATCAGGTTACTGCCTTGCTGTGGCCTTTGTTAGAAGTGTGCCGGCATTCAGCCAGGCACGGTGGCTCATGCCTGTAATCCCAACATTTTGGGAGGCCAAAGCAGGTGGATAGCTTTAGCCCAGGAATTCAAGACCAGCCTGGGCAACATGGTGAAACCCCATCGCTATCAAAAATTCAACAATTAACTGGGCGTGGTGGCGTGCGCCTGCAGTTGCAGCTATTCGGGAGGCTGAGATGGGAGGATGGCTGGAACTTGGAAGGTGGAGGTTGCAGTATGCCAAGACTGCACCACTGCACTCCAGCCTGGGCAACAGAGCCACACCCTGTCTCAAAAAGACAAAAAAACCTCAGCATTGCTCTTTTCTTCAGCATTTCTTTTTTCAGTCTGGTGGTGTTAATTGGATATTTTGTCTACTTATCACTCAAAAATAATTGTCAGTTCGTCAGAATAATATGAAATATAAATCCTCCCTTATAGGTCATATGAAGTAATATATTCTCCTTCCCTGCCAAATTGTAACATTGTTTTTTATAAAATGCACATTTAAAATAGTCATGTGCTGGGTGTGTTGCTCATGCCTGTAATCTAAACACTTTGGGAGACCAAGACAGGGGGATCTCTTGGAGCCGGGTGTTTGAGGCCAGAGTGGGCAACACAGTGAGCCCCCACCTTTACAATTTTTAAAAATTAGGTGTGATGGTGTACACCTGTAGTCCTAGCTACTGGGGAGGCTGAGGCAGGAGGATTGCTTGAGTCCAGGAGTTTGAGACTGCAGTGAGTCGTGATTGTTCCACCGCACTCCAGCCTGGGCAACAGAGCAAGACCCCATCTCTTAAAAGTAAAATTTTCAAAAGCAATCATAAACAGTTCAGGGATGTATGTTTGCTTTCTGATACTCCCAGGTTCATCTCATCAATTCCCTTATTTACCTGAGTGAACAGTTCCTGAGGATCCCGTTTCAGAACAATAGCAGTCTGGGCTTCAAAGTTCCTGCGAATATCTGCCTCTTTCATTATTTCAACAATGTCACCAAAGCTGGAGAAGGAAGTTGGCAGGGGTCCAAGCGTGACCCTGAGCAGGTAGGTACCAGGTATGCAGGTAGCCAAATCTGCTTAGAAGCATTTTAATCTTGGCAGGTCCAGGTATCACAGCCTCTCCCCAGACCTTTCAAGAGAACCTTGCAGAAGTATGTGCTGCAGAAGAAACCACCTGCCGAGCCTTCTCTGGGGTCTCCCTCCCCATCCCACCAGTTAGCCAAGACTCCCTAGTGCTACAATCAAGCGAAAAGGAGTTAGGGGCTGGGACTCGGTGGCTCACGCCTGTAATCCCAGCACTTTGGGAGGCCAAGGAAGGTAGATCACCTGAGGTCAGGAGTTCGAGACCAGCCTGGCCAACATGGCAAAACCACATCTCTACTAAAAAAACAAATTAGCCAGCCATGGTGGCAGGTGCCTGTAATCCCAGCTACTCAGGAGGCTGAGGCAGGAGAATCAGTTGAACACAGGAAGCAGAGGTTGCAGCGAACTGAGATCATGCCACTGCATTCCAGCCCAGGCAACAGAGTGAGATGTCATTGGGGGGAAAAATGACTTAGGAAAGTGTTGGCATACAGCAAACACTGAATAACTTACGTTTGCTATTCACGTGAAAAGATGTTCCACATCATTGGTCATTAGGGAAATGCAAATCAAAGCCAAAGTGAGATACTACTTCACACTCAAAAAGACAGAAAATAACAAGTACTTGCAAGGATGCTGAGAACTTGCAACCCCATCCATTGTTGGATTGTAAAATGATGCAGCCACTTTGGAAAACAGTTTGGCAGTTGCTTAAAATGTAAAAAATAGGCCGAGCGCAGTGGCTCATGTCTGTAATCCCAGCACTTTGGGAGGCCAAGGTGGATGGATCACAAGGTCAGGAGTTCGAGACCAGCCAGCCAATATGGTGAAATCCTATCTCTACTAAAAATACAAAAAAAAAAAAAAAAAAAAAAAAAAA